AGTGCTGATTGAATACCTGACCTGCCGTACCTTTTTTTCGTTATTAAACAATCACAGTTGATGTCTTGATGAAAGTTTCAAACTGAAGTTGACTCCCGAAAACATTAACTTGTTTGAGTGGCATTTAGCAGTTGGTGTGATGAACAACGTGGAGAGTTCTATGGATATCCTCCAACCTTGTACATCAACCTCATTAATTGTGCAAACATCAATCACTTACTGTTCAACTTTACTATGTATATATACCTTGCCTCTAGTATTGTACATCATTTGCTTGATAACGGTGTTAGTAGCTAAACGTCGCTCATATTATATTAAAGAAGTTGTATATCCATAGAACTCTCCTCGTTGTTCCCCAAAACATGTCCATGACTTCCTCTCATGATACCAGGAGTCATGATGACTCCTAAATTTGTATGCCTAGGGCAAATACTGTTTGGTTGTGGGTTTGAATCCAAGATCTGCTCTGATTATCTCTCTAGGTTTGTCAGCATTGTTATACCTGTGCTTGTGGGATACGCTGAAGTGGTAAAGAACTGCATCACATTGGGCATTCCTCCCTATAACCTGAATGGCTTTGATATAACTGTAGTTCCTTCCAAAACTGCATTAAGCTTTGCGTTGGTAGGTTTGTTGTTTAATGACGCACTCAGTATATTCCAGCTATATGGCGGCAGTAAATAATCGAGTCTGGACCAGACAATCCAGTGATCAACATTGAGCATCGATCTATGTAACTGGGATACAATGACATGTGTCAACCAAGAAAGTGAGCATGACCACCAGATCATGGTACTCGCCTTTCACGACAAGCATGGGTTGCTGAACTTGACAAATTCTAACCCGGATCTTCACGGGTCTGTATTGAACTAAAATCGCTCTACCGTTTTATTGTAGTTTAATGCACTTTCAGCAATGTCCCAGCAGAGACTATATGATAGATATTATATGGTCTTTGGTCCCAGCAATATAATCATGTCTGGACTAGACAATCCAGTGATGGATATCATCATGATCTATCCAAGCAGTTAAGATATGGTGACATGCAAGTAGTCAAATCGCTTAGCCTGACTACACAATCCACTTAGTTGCCTCCTCGTCCACAATAGGTTGCAGAGGTCCTATATTCTTACCCAGAATTCCCCTGGGTCCCTTACCGATCGATCTATAACCTTCTATTCTGAGTGCACTTGGTACAAGCATTTTTCACAGAAAATTTAAACATGATACTCCTTCAGGCTGTAAATGCTGTGCCAGCACATTCCTCGTAGACATATCAGGTCTTTTTTAATGTGAATTTGAACTAACTGCAGCAACTGACAATGATGAGTCTGGGACGAGTTCTCTGATCTGACCGACTAAACGATCAGATTTCATGCTTCATCTGCCTCCTGCTGGTCCAACAAACTGACCATATAATAATCCTATGTCAATAAAACTGCTACGGACCCTATATGCCATCTGTCGATTATGCAACAATAAAATTAACACTCTGTACCACACCAACAGCTCTCCTAGTGAGCTAAGTACCAGCATTGTGCACCTGTGTGGCTGAATCTAAAGCATGCCTTTACCCCGATTGTCCTAATGTTAATCAATTGCCTAGTGAGCCCTGACTAATGACGATTTCGACAGCTCAAGTTATTGATTAGCGAGCGGTGGGTCAGCCTTGCTACTGGAGACTGTTTGTATGGGAAACAATAGACTCAATATTGGCAGATAAATGGGCCCCGGAGATCCATGAACAACTGCGGTATCAGTGTTCTAACACTGGCCCACTTGCTGCCACGGACTGTGCGGTCTTAAGTGACTGACCACTTTGGGGGTAGTTTATCTCACAGTCCTTGAATCATATTTAGCTTTCGCCCAGCACTACCTGTAATGCTTGCACTCTAAATGAAGCAAGTCTAGATTTGCTCCACATCTTGTATCCCACTGGGGCTCCTTTTTTATTTAAATGCAGCTCTTTGTTTATCTCTCAGTGATTTATTTTCAAAGACTAAGCATTAGGCTAGGTCTGGGGGCGACTTGCAGTGTTCAAAAATGGTGTTTCAAAGTCACAGGACATTGGGTCCTGTAAGTTTCAGATGTCTGTCTGACCCATTGAAAATGCACAGGACCCATGGAATAAAATTAAACACACATTTCAGATTTAATATTTCTTATAATTGGCATTGAAATTATTAACAAACATAAGATTTATAAACAGCAAACAAGTGTCACATGTCACATATAACAACTTCAGTCAAAGTCATTGTGAAATATACAGTCAGACACTGGGGCCGGCGGGTTGTAGACTTCTGTCTGACCGTTGGCGAATCTGCCGGATTTGTCAGAGGGTCAGACGCTATTCGTGAACACTGGACTTGGATTTTTAGTCTTTAGGAACTAACTACTTCATCATCCAGAGAGACTTGGATTGTTTTCGTTTTTGAGAATAAAATGGTCCTTTGTTGTCCCCTTCCCCCTGAAAATTGTTCATTGAAAAATAACGTTGTTTGGCTGCCATGTTATGACAAGAATATCAGCCCTCTCTCAACTAAACAATGATATGGTTGATCCCTTTCAGTTCATCTGTCACAGTCTGTTAAAGCAACAGTGTCATTGAACAAAGCTGTATGTATTTGTGGCATTGCAGAGAGCTCCACTGTCTACCCATGGAGGGTCTTATCATGCGTAACCGTTGTTGGCGATTTGCTTTCAATATGATTTAAAGTACATTGGTATGCAGAAGGATTCAAGTGTGTCATTAAACAACTTTGTCAGGTCCATCATCACCTTACACCCAAGATCAGCCTTTAAGAGAAGTTTGCTGTTGAAATATGGTGGCCCAGTGAACTAGTGCTGCAACACGGCTCCTGCATTCACACAGCAGTGTGTGGCGTGACTATGACTGTATAACTACTTGACTTGACCCTCCCACGCAGAGTACTGCAGCCACTGAGCTAGTCTGTCTCACAGTCCCTGAACCACATTAATTTCCCTACTGCCAAGCCCTCCTGCAGTGCTAAAGCCCTAAATAAAGCAAGTCTAGATTTCCTCAGGTTCTGAATCTCTGGTCTCCCTAGGGCTCCTTTTCAATATAAATGGGCTTGTTTGTTACTATCAAAATTATATATATTCAGAGACTAAGCCTTAGTCTACCACTGAGCCAACTGGTGCTTCCTTAATGTGTAGATCAGATATTTGCTTTTTGTTTAAAACCCAATTCTGCAATATTCCAGCTGAATCACTGCGGCTTGTACATATATAAGTCTGGACCAGATAATCCAGTGATTGAAGTAATGAGCATCGTTTTACTTAATTGGGATACAATAACATGCATCAACACAAGTCAGCTTGCCTGACTCCTGATCCCTTTTGTTGTCACTTACGACAAGCATGGGTTGCTGAAAATGAATTCTAACCCAAATCTTCAGCTGGTCAGATCAGATGTTGGCAGTTTATAGTTTCATGGTAACCATATTTCACTTCTGAACTCAGTTGGCTGTTTGTGTCATGGCATCCATGTCCCTAGTATGGACTAGTTACAGGCTAGTTGCTGATTTAACAGGCTGTCCCAAATGACAGGTACCATTGACATGACTGATAAACCCTGTCTCACATAACCATTAATTACAGAGAAAAGAACATATATCAAGCTGGACTGGTACTCGGGATGATCTTTCTAACTTGCAGGGAGAGACTCAATTACAAGCCACTCTCCCAAGCCAGCTTGTCTCGATGTCACATCCTTAATGTTCAATGATAGGTCTCCGACGGTTTGTAGTGTGTTGTCAACACATTTGACAGTTTGACTTCAATATTGAATATGATTCTTCTTAACATTTTAAGCAGTGTTACGACTAGTGACAAAGTTCCGAGTGGATGAAAAGTTCAAGGGATGTGTTTGTAAAACCTACGTTATTAAGCACAGACCGTGATAGTCAAGTTGAAAACTTTTAATAAAATTTGAAACAAAAACATATATGCAATACATCCAACCATAATCTTGTGCTACAGATCCACACAAAGTATCGTTATGTGAACCTGTATAGCGATAAACATCATTATGAAGTTATGGATCTAAAGTAACAGATAAAGCAGGAGTGATTGTTTTTAGTTTTGTATTTTTAGTTTAGTATCACTGGGCTGTGCTGATAACCACTGTCGTATACTGGTACCTTTGACAATGGTTTCCGTATTACAGTACAATGCATTCCTTGTTTCCAGGCTGCATTTGAATGAAATGCACAACCAGGGGTAGAGAGCCTCAAAGATCATTCAAGACCAGGCAGACATTCAACTGACACATAAGGAAAATGTTAAACTATATGATGTGATAATTGATGGTTTTATGACTCTCCATATGTCTCATAGCCAATACAGATAGCATATCTCTTGAGGAAAGAACTGGGCAGGGCAAAGCTTACGTACCAGTGTATAAATGGAACAGCCCCCGAGTACTTGTGTGAACTCATCAACTTACACGAACCCTCTCTTTGTCTCCAATCAGACACACAGAATCTTCTCCAGACACCAAGATGGAAGCTCAAAGTTTTCGGACAATTTTCTTTCAAAAACTCTGCCGCTACTCTCTAGAATGCTATGTCTACTGAGAACTTGCCCATCCTTGGAGAGCTTCAAAGCCCATTTGAAGACGCATCTCTTCAAAAAAAATTATCCAGATTGACATTTCATCTTTGCCGTGTACAGAGCTTTGAGCATATGATTTATGGATAAGATGCTGTAGAAATGCTCATTTATTTAAAGCTTACAGCATGCTGGTTTTCATGGCTTTTGACTGCTGAAGTGTAACATAAACTCACTGACTGAGTGTTGTTGCATGGTGTCTTAGTTCAAGGAGATTTGACACCTGGTGTTGCAAGCAGTAATGTGATGCATACAGTGTTAGGGATATGTGACCTGGTTTTGTAGTCAGTAATGTCACACACATGATGTTGCATAAAGGAATGACACCTGGAGTTGCACTTTTTAATGCGAGGCATGTTTTGTTGCAGGGAGACATGGCACCTGGTGTTGCAGTCATCTGTCTGCTATATCATGATGAACACATTCCCACCACAGATAATGCACATGTGAGTAGTGAATCCAGACTTTTGTATTTAATCATTAGAAAATGGAGCATTATTGAAATCCATTGTATGAATAATGTTATGGAAAATCCTGTACAAAATGTATTCTATTTTGTTTATGAAGGTTACAAATCAGAAAGTAAATAATACTATTTAGCTTATTTTGCATTTTTGTTTGCATCTAAATATGAAGTATTTTTATCTGCTGTGAGCTAAATGCATAAATTATCATAATAAGTGAAATACACACTTGTGTATGGAGTTGTACATCTGCCACACATAATGAATAAACACAAGGCAGGCGATATTCCCATAGCCACTTAATGAATGAAATGTCAATTGAAGTGTCACTTTTGTAATTTTGTCCCTTAGTTGTGCCAGGATCTGCTGATTGTTACTACAGGTCCTTGTTTCGCCCTGATTATGATACTAGTATTTAGTTTTCTAAATTTTGATGGTTTTGGTAACATATACAGTCAATGTCACCTTTGGCTTGCTGCCCACATTAAACTGGCTCACAGTGACATGACTGATTTCAAAGCTACATTAGTCCAAACTCATTCAATCAGTCAATGTTTACCTGCAGGTGTGTGCTGATATTCAGTCTGGCCTATCTGGTGGCGATGTGTCTGTACCGCTACCTCCTGCCAGAAGACATGCAGTTCCTCGACATCACCTTGTAAGTGACCCTCTGAGGGTAGTCATAGTGCATAACAGCATCATTCTTAAAGGGTGTATGTTATAGGGAGAAACACTGGTCTGTTTTTAACTTTGTATCTTGCTGACAAGTGAGTGAAAAAGATGTTACAACCAACCCTAGTGCCAACACATATAGGGATTTCCAGGAGTGAGGATATCTCAGAATGCTTTATGAATATGGGTCTATCCATTAAATATTATTGTTGTGTCTCCGAATTTGAGAAAGAAAGCAGGCTTTCTCTGAAAGAAAAGATGAACATCTTCGTTTTTATCAACAACTGTACCCTTAATACAGTGCTGTATGTCCAGTGAACGATTTTAGTTTTTTTTAAATAATTTGAAGACAATATCCCCACTCCACCCCAACCATTATTTGGAAGAAGTTATTCTTGTTATCACAATATACTGCTATTCAGAGGAAGTGAATGCAGCGTCAGTGACTTCAAGTTTCAAATAACATCAAAACTATGATGGCGAGGGAATAAGCATGACAAACAAACTATTGATTTGTTCCTGTCATTGGGATAGTTTAAAGAGGTTGTGAGGGACAGCCCCTAAGGAACCTCTTTGAGATGAATAAGACGTGTATGTTTGTTTCAGCCCATGCACGGTGTCGGTCCAGAAGCTCTCCAGTCTTGCCTTCAGTATAACAGACTCTCACCGATATAAGCTAGACAGCAACAGTCTCACAGACTCTCAGAAGAAAAGAGTTATCAGGTGAGGGAGTATCCTATCTGGGTCTACGTGCACAAACTGATCTTAGCACCACAGTGATCAGAACTCAGGTACAGTAACATAGACTTATAATAATCCTATCACTGAGTGCTCTAGTGTGACTCTTAAAGATTTAAGCTAGACAGCAACAGTTTCACAGTCTCTCAGGATAAGCTATAGTCATTGCCGTCAGAGCTCACACATTTCCTTGAATCCTACACATAGCTAGATGGCTGAAGTAATGCTGAAGATAAGAATTGATCTTCTGTAATAAAAGGCGACTAACGGGATCGGGTGGTCAGACTCGCTGACTTGGTTGACACATGTCATCATATCCCACTTGCATAGATCAATGCTCATGCTGTTGATCACTGGATTGTCGGGTGCAGACTTGATTAATTACAGACCGCTGCCATACAGCTGGAATATTGCTGAGTGCAGCGTAAAACTAAATTTACTCACTCACTCACTAATGCTGATGATATGTTAAATTTTAATTCACTTGCATTCTACAATATTTTTTCTTCTTTTCAGCAAACCTCCCAATCTGCTACATTTCTTCAGCTATATGTTTTACTTCCAAGGAATCTTGGCAGGTCCTTTTACTTTCTACAACGACTATATTGACTTTATAGATGGCCGGCACATCACGTCTAGACTAGAAACTAAAGTAAGTTCATGGCAACCCTCCAGGGAGGTCAAATTTCTCAGTTGGCTTTGTGTGTGTTTTATCTTAGAGTATATATTTAATTATATGTCATGTTTTAATGCTGTTTGCCTCCTCAGTATGTTTAGAGTCCAGACTGGATTCAGCCTGGAGCTGGAGTCTTATATAGTTTGTTGGTAAAAGTCAAGTATGATTGTAAAGAAATTTTGAAAACCATTCTGTAAGATTAATGTTTTAAGATTGTGTCTGTGTGTTTGTCTCTCTGTGTGGTAGACTGTTTCTTGTTGATTCAGACTTCTATTCAGGGTTTCTGCGTAGCGGTATTTACTATCACTCTATAGTTTGTTGTTGCAGAAACAATGCTTTGTTATATAGTATCTGGTTGTTGTATGGCAGAAATAGCTTTCATTAATAGCATCCATATCTTCAAGTGTATCATTGTGACTTTCAGTGGAGCTGCATGTTATCTTTCATGAGTACTATGTTCAATTATCAGGGACTTTATTGAGAAAAGGGTGGTGCACAGTTCATTTTCACCCATTTTCACGAGAGTTCAATGGTCATTTGATAAACTTTCATCCTGCACCCCCTGTCTGGATCTGCCTATAATACAGTAAAAGATATTCATTTTTCAGAAGCATATTTTTATGTTAATGTTTAAGAGAGTATGTGTTCAATACCAGTTTCATGGTCAGTATCATCCTCGTCAGAAACTAAGTTGTTTAAGAATTGATCTCATGTTCTTCTTCTTCAGGATGATGATAAAAAGCCATTGGTTGATCCTAAATCTATATCTCCTTTGGTAAGTTATCTAGTTATAGTCATATAGAATATAATTATCAGCTAGACATGTCATAATACAGAACAGAACAGAATTTTATTTCAGTAACAGGCCTCCGGCCCAAAATACATGTACATAAATTGATGATAAGTAGAGCACATATATATTTCATTTAGATTTGTGTTTCTTGTCAACAAAGTATAAAAATAGACATACATCCTTGATAATATTAACATTTTACTCTGTAATATTGATATAAAATTAATAATTGATGGACATTTACTAAAATATTTTGATATGTACTTATTTCTGATATGAGAATATGCATCACAGATATAAAACACATGCCATTCATCTTCAACAACGAAGAAACCATTTAATTTACAAAACAGGCAATGCCTTTCATTATATGCAACATCAGTGTATCTGCCCGTTTCAACTGCTAGTTTAAAATTACAGCACCGAAATCGGGGATATATAGTTTTTAAATATTGAGGGATATCATTATTTATCAAGTAATGATAATACACTCATTTAGAGATAATCTTGAATGATTTACATTGTGATGTGGTGGCAAAGCTGACATGGAACTATCATTTTAAAATTTACTTTTAAATTGATATTTTTATACCTCTATTTACATAACTATCTTTGCAACAGGGGAACTACTTGAGAAAAACATTGTAAAAGTTTGAAGTGAGACATTTTTTTGCACAAAACAATACCAAGTCAACACTGTCTTGCCTTTGTATCTGAGATCATGTTAATGATGATGTTGTCACTTTTCAGAGAGTGGTATTTTACAAGTGTGTGATGCTAGGTGCATGGGTCTATCTCTATCTCCACGTGTCCTGTGTCCTTGTGCCGACGTCCTACAATGCAGGTATGTATCGGAAACACCTTCCTTAACTCACCAATATTGACTTCTTTTAATTCGTTTATCGTTCAGTAGTTCATCTATCAGATCAAAGAATCGAAAACATTTTTTCTTAAATTTTGAAACAACCCTCCTACCCCAACTGACAAGAAGGCCATTATTACCCTCACCCCTTAAGGAATACAGATTTTTATATGACATCAAACTTTTGAAATGGTCCCTTAATGCAGTGCAGTGGGGTGAATTTCAATTCAGTATATTTCCTTCGTTGTTTATTGCAGATCCTGATTTCATACAGAGACATACGGTGATCTATCGGCTAGGATACATGTACCTGTCAATGTTGTGTCACAGGTCAAGGTACTTCCTCACATGGACGTTAGGTAAGACCACATTATTGTTGAGGCAGGTATTGTAATTACAGAACAAAACACACAGGTAGAAGTTGATCTGTGGGGATTCTGGGTACCCAGCCTCCTATGCTTGTGGTTAGAGATGAATACATTGACTAGCTGGTCAGCCTGTGTCTCTCGGTTCATTGCAAGTTTTGATATCCGTAAGATTGATTGATTGAGTGTTGTTTAACGCCATACTCAGCAATATTCCAGCAATATGGCGGCAGTCTGTAAATAATCGAATCTGGAACAGACAATCTGGTGATCAACATCATGGAAATCGATCTACACAATTGGGATACGATGGTATGTGTCAGTCAAGTCAGTGAGCTTGACCACCCGTTCAGCTAGTCTCCTTAGTATGGGTTGCTGAAGACCAATTCTGACCTGGAAACTAAACTCACTCGCTCACTCCAACCTGTATGCTGGTGCGATAAGGTTATTTCATAATGGCTGTATGATAATGTTCAATATGACATTGACTCCCTAATGTCTGAATGAAGGTGAGTTCTTTCTGTGTTTCAGCTGATATTGTATATAATGCATCTGGCTATGGCTTCAATGGACTGGATGCCAGTGGGAATGCTAAGTGGGATATGGTGACAAATATTAGAGTTGAAAAAATAGAGGTAAGATGGACATGGATATGACACAGAGGATAAATAAATTATATTTTATGTCATATGAAACATTGTATGTCATCATGCATCAGTGCTGTGTGTGTTCTCATTGGTAAATTATCGGAATACATATGATCTTTATTGGTTCTATTTGAGTCTTTGAGACACCTTAGCTTTTATCCTGAGTCTGTCTCACTCAGAAATAGAACTAAATGAGAATGTGTTTCTGACCCATGATTTTGTAATGATCTTGATGACCTTGACCTTGATTACAACTATGATACCCAAGAAAGCTGATCAAAATGTGTACTACTCAAACAAGATAAAGAATGTCCACAATTTGAAGTCTGTAAGTTGCAATATGACATCAGCCATGACAGATTAACTATGGTTTCAAGTCAGACGTTCTTAGTACTTGTGAGTAGTATATGTAAATATGCACGTATATTTCTATTTGTTCACTTTTTCAAAGTTTTGTATATTAGGTGCATGTTTCTTGAAAAACTTTATCTGATTTGATCATCCTCTCCCTTCCAGACAGCAACAAGTTTTAAAACATTTATTGACAACTGGAACATCCAGACGACAAAATGGCTGCGTTATGTGTGTTACGAACGAGCTCCATTTTTACGCACCCACCTGACTTATATCCTGAGCGCCGTCTGGCACGGAGTCTACCCTGGATTCTACTGTACATTCCTCTCAGCCATCTGGTTCACACTGGCCGGACGCAAGGTGAGGCGCCACCTGTTGGCGGGGAAAGCTGACCTGTGAGGCTTGCTGTTGATGACATTTTTTCACATTTTTGCTTCAATTATAATTGATTTATTTTTTTTAAATGCAGTTTTTATTATGATTGACAATGACTTTCATTTGTATTAAATTTAATCCTTGTACAGGTAGATTTGATTTGTTGTGAGAAAAGCTATATGTGAATATTGCCACAATGTTTTACAAACAGAGGAGGAAACCAAAGATAAATATTCATATGAAGATCAGTTTAGTATGAGACAAGACGTCATCCTTCATATACTTGTTCTGTTTAGAATTCCATTGTGATGTAGTTTACAATCACACATATGACTCTGTGGATAACAACCTCTTGTTTATTGCATAGTGTGACATTACACCGTTATAAAACTAAAAGTGCAATAAGCAAGAAGTTGTTATTCATAATGTCTTATGCTTTATTATTGACTCACCAACTTCTAGAATGCTGATGTTTTGTGTCCACATCCTCTAGATATGTCATATATTTTTGCTGATTGTCTGTTGCAGATCCGGAGAAACATCCGGCCCCACTTCCAGGAGTCAGCTGGGATGCGAGCCCTGTACGAGGTGTTGACCTGGTTTGGCACACAACTGCCTATGGCCTACATTGTACTGCCATTCACATATCTCAATGTAGCTCCCTTCATCACCTTCTACAAGTAAGTCTACTCACGCAATGATACACGACCTGTGAAGGTCCGGGTAAGAATGAGTTTGTGAGTGAGTTTAGTTTTACGTCGCACTCAGCAATATCCCAGCTATATGGCAGCGGTCTGTAAATAATCTAGTCTGGACCAGACAATCCAGTGATCAACAGCATGAGCATCGATCTGCGCATGGGAACCGATGACATGTGTCAACCAAGTCAGCGAAACTAACCACCCGATCCCGTTAGTCGCCTCTTACGACAAGCATAATCGCCTTTTATGGCAAGCACATGGGTTGCTGAAGACCTATTGTACCCCGGATCTTCACGGGTATCGGGTTAGAATGAACCTTCAGTAACCCATGCTTGTCGTAAGAGACGACTAACTGGATCGGGTGGTCAGGCTTGCTGGCTTGGTTGACACATATCATCGGTTCCTAATTGCGCAGATCGATGCTCATGCTGTTGATCACTGGATTGTTTGGTCCAGACTGGATTATTTACAGACCACCGCCATATAGCTGGGATATTGCTGAGTGCGGTGTAAAACTAAACTCACCCACTCACTCAATGATACACAGACTGGGTTAAGGTGTTCATATTAAGCTATCTGTGTCCCCTCTTGACTGGAATAGTGTTCGACAGAGTGACCATAGTGCTACGGCTATCTTAATGTGTATACTTTAACAATGGCGTTTTATAGTCATAGTGTGTCATTGTATTCCTATATGGGACATTGGTCATTACATTGATCACTGGTTTGTCTCTTGAGTGTCAACAGTCTTCATCTGGCTGAAATATTACAATGTTACAATAAGCCATTGTTTTTGTTTGTTTTGTTTATATTTGTTAAACTTCACATGTAAGTTATTTGGCAAGCTACAGAAACCAGTTTGACTAGTTTGAATGCTTCTCTCACTTGGACCAAAGTGTTTGAAGCCTTGTCACTGATTGGCTAATTAGAAGGTTCAGTTGGTGCAACCTCCATAGGACGTCTTGAGGTCTTCACACAGAGTACCTCTCTGGATTTTAATGCGAGTGGATTCTGAATATTTTGGGATGATACAAATGTGACATATATATAGAATTTCATTATCATGGAGATCTTGGTTGGAATGCTGCTGTTGAAACTGCTTTGGTGGAAGACTAATTATCCGGAATCTTGACTATTGCAGCAGCGTGTACTGGTTTTTCCACATCCTGGTGGCCGTCATCCTGCTTATTCCCTTCGACAGCAAACAAGCGAGGCACCGACAAGACATGACCAAAACCTCAACGCCACAAACAGACGTGACCTCTGACCCTGGCAGGTTATCCAACGGAAACTCCCAACGTAATTCCACTCAAGACACATCATAGAAGATGACTAGCCTCAGTATCATGATCATATCATTATAGATTTCCATAGCAGATCAAAGGTCTGATATATTTTATCATATTTCATAAGGATGCATTGATGTTAGTGGTTTGTTTTTGTTTGATTCTTTTGCAAGTATTTGTGTGAAAGATTGAATTTGTATTTCAAGGAGTGTGTCTTTGAATTGAGTTTGTTGTGAATTCATCATGTTCTGACATATTTGAAGTACATAGTTTGATGTCCTTAGCTGCCTGGCTCCAGCTTACTAAGTTGAAGTCATCCAAATCATGAGAATCACATTTAAGGTCATATATGACTCCTGTTGGGCCACAAGGAATTAATTATTAGATTTTCATCAAAATTTGTTTATATGATATGAGGGAAGAAATTGTTTCTGTACATATTTGGTTTAAGCCAACAATGTGCGTACAATACTTGTAAGCTGAATTAGACTGTTATTATTTGGTAGGACAATGTACATAGTGTATTTGGTAGGACAACGTACATAGTGTATTTCATCAAGTATGCAGAATTAGGAAATCTGTAGCGATTTCCTTATTTCTAAGACACTAAAATGAAGTGAAGTGGATATTGTTTGATTATGTACACAGTCATGAAAAACTAAGAATTACTTCGTTTTAGCCAAATAACTCATAACATGAAAAAGTATCAAACGGGTTATATATTTTTATTAATAATAATGATAATAATTTTATGATAACAATTTACAACTAGAGTATGTGGAAAAGACGGATTTTACATATGTCCCAGGTGTCTAAGATGTACAAAGGTAAAACTGATCGCATTGATATATACTGGGGTACAATACTGTCACCTCTCCTTCAGAGATGAATGACGTGATAACAGAGAAAGTGTATTACCCTAAACAGGGCTTGATTTAAGAAAATGAAACCTACCTGCACCTGGTGCAACCTTAGGTAATAATCTTGCACACGACAAAAACAGGTTGCACATGCTGCGCAATATATAATCATATATAATGCTTGAATTTTGGTATTGATGATTTAGGACATAATCATAACAAAATTATTATGGGTCTGATACCATCATTTTATCTTACTCTATAAAAATTTCTGGCATGAACAGTCAGGACCATTCACTCACTGTCGGTGTAGTCGTCAGAGTCACTGCTCCAAGCCAGTTTCTCATCCAGCTGAAGTCTGTGTTCTTTGGGTGGATGCACAGGGTGCAAATTCATATGAATAGGAGGTTGCATTTTGCAGTTTTAGGTTGCACCAGTGCAAGGTCAAAATGTTACAACACTGGTTGTTGTTTTGACAATCATGGAATAAAAATAAAAATTTTACTTCCAAGGATCTCCCAGAATTTTTTTGTTTAAAATGGCATTTCTTTAATAACCCACATGTTGAAAAGAATCAAAAGTAAAAATAATATGGCAAATACCTGTATGTGTATCATTGACTTTTTAAAACAATTGTGGCATAAGATTACTTCATGCACGAAGGAAGTTTCTCCCACTTATTCATGAATTGAAGTGAGCTTGTTCTTAGCAGATTTGTTTGAGCCCTACCTTTGTGAATCTGTCTGATATATTACAGGGGCGGGTTGTTTCTTGGTGTGAATGATTTCATGCCATGAATGAATTCCTGATCCCCAAATCCAGGGTTTGAGGTGTGCGATGGACTTGTTAGAACACACAGAATCCATGTGCATACATTATGGTTCAGTTTCTGCATTACATTTGATGTCATTTATGTCATGTAGATACACAATTATTTTAGTTAATGTATTGTAGTTTGTTGTGATATATTTAGAAATTGTGAGATTTGTTAAACTTATTTGTTATTGTGATTTGGTTTCAGTTGAATTTTTAAGTTATATGTTTTGCTTCTGTCTAATTTTAGGATGTAAAAATAAGGTGATGCTTTTATTGTAAACTTGCCATGCCAAAAATGCACACTAGCATTAGGAGTCTATTTTCAGTGCAATAACTGTGAAATAGGCGATGAGTATTAGACTAAAACAGACCACAATGTAGGCACCTTCACTCATGAACACCACCCAACATCATGTTGTGTCTGTTTTAGGATGAAAGTGAAAATTTGAAACAGGCTAGCAGGAAGGATACTGCTTGTTTAACCACTGTTTAACATGACATTTCATTGTTCATTTATCTTCATTTTTTATGTAAAATATTGTTAGCATAGTTAGATTTCCTCTGAAACCTGCAGAACAGTTATATTTCCTCTGAAACCTGCAGAACAGTTATATTTCCTCTGAAACCTGCAGAACAGTTAGATTTCCTCTGAAACCTGCAGAACAGTTATATTTCCTCTGAAACCTGCAGAACAGTTAGATTTCCTCTGAAACCTGCAAAACTCAGGAGCTGAAAATTATGATAGATCATAGGGTGTCTCTAAATTATACTCGCAAATGTCTTGATTCGATTTGAAACAATGTTGCCATGCTATGTTGAAAGTGTAATTTCGGCATGTTTTGTTGTGAAATTCATGTGCATCAATAATGGGCACTGAATATTATTGTCCCAAATGATGTTGCAAGTACAGTATTTTCCCCAGAATCTATTGCAACAATTTTCCTTGAACTCACTATAGATATTTGCAACGAATGTGGTTAAAGTGTCATCAATTTATTACTAAGTTGGGTGAGCTACAGTGCCTTGTGGCTCTTTTTCATTGCCTACAATGGTTTCTTGTTGATTACTTAATCAGTATTTAGTAGAATCAAGATGATTTTGAGCACTTGATTCAGATTATCAAAACCTATGACAGGATGTAAGCTTTACCCTTAGACATATGTCTTCTATTTACTTGTCAATATCATGCCGTAGGTGCCAGAGAATTAGAGTTTCTTTTACATACTGGGTGTGTTTTGTACCATATGCCATGTTGTACCTCTTTTAGGCCTCTTCTCCAACTAGGTTTATTTTCAGAAAAAATAACAATAAAAATATGGTAATGCGTGCAGCTGGGTCATCCAGATGTGAATGTGAATACATTCAGCTAGGTCATCCAGATCTGAAGGTGGATACATTCAGCTAAGTCATCCAGATCTGAAGGTGAATATATTCAGCTAGGTTGTTCAGATATGAAGGTGAATGTATTCAGCTAGTTTGTTCAGATATGAATGTGAATACATTCAGCTAGGTCATTCAGATCTGAAGGTGAATATATTCAGCTAGGTTGTTCAGATATGAAGGTGAATGTATTCAGCTAGTTTGTCTAGATATGTCCGAGAACACATTCAGCTAGGTTGTTCAGGTATGAATATGAATGTGAATACATTCAGCTGGGTCTTTCCGGATACGACAGATGAATACATTCGGCTAGCTTGTCGAGATACGACAGTGAATACATTCAGCTAGCTTGTCGAGATACGACAGTGAATACATTCGGCTAGCTTGTCGAGATACGACAGTGAATACATTCAGCTAGCTTGTCGAGATGCGACAGTGAATACATTCGGCTAGCTTGTCGAGAATACAGTGAATACATTCGCCAGCTTGTCGAGATACGACAGTGAATACATTCAGCTAGCTTGTCGAGATACGACAGTGAATACATTCAGCTAGCTTGTCGAGATACGACAGTGAATACATTCAGCTAGCTTGTCGAGATACGACAGTGAATACATTCAGCTAGCTTGTCGAGATACGACAGTGAATACATTCAGCTAGCATTGTCGAGATACGACAGTGAATACATTCGGCTAGCTTGTCGAGATACGACAGTGAATACATTCAGCTAGCTTGTCGAGATGCGACAGTGAATACATTCGCCAGCTTGTCGAGATGCGACAGTGAATACATTCGCCAGCTTGTCGAGATCGACGACAGTGAATACATTCGGCTAGCTTGTCGAGATGCGACAGTGAATACATTCGGCTAGATTGTCGAGATGCGACAGTGAATACATTCAGCTAGCTTGTCGAGATGCGACAGTGAATACATTCAGCTAGCTTGTCGAGATGCGACAGTGAATACATTCAGCTAGCTTGTCGAGATGCGACAGTGAATACATTCAGCTAGCTTGTCGAGATGCGACAGTGAATACATTCGGCTAGCTTGTCGAGATATGTCCGAGAACACATTCAGCTAGGTCGTTCAGGTATGAATATGAATGTGAATACATTCAGCTGGGTCTTTCCAGATACAAAGATGAATACATTCGGCTAGCTTGTCGAGATGCGACAGTGAATACATTCAGCTAGCTTGTCTAGATATGTCCGAGAACACATTCAGCTAGGTCGTTCAGGTATGAATATGAATGTGAATACATTCAGCTGGGTCTTTCCGGATACAAAGATGAATACATTCGGCTAGCTTGTCGAGATGCGACAGTGAATACATTCAGCTAGCTTGTCTAGATATGTCCGAGAACACATTCAGCTAGGTCGTTCAGGTATGAATATGAATGTGAATACATTCAGCTGGTCTTTTCGGATACAAAGATGAATACATTCGGCTAGCTTGTCGAGATGCGACAGTGAATACATTCAGCTAGCTTGTCTAGATATGTCCGAGAACACATTCAGCTAGGTCGTTCAGGTATGAATATGAATGTGAATACATTCAGCTGGGTCTTTCCGGATACAAAGATGAATACATTCGGCTAGCTTGTCGAGATAAGACAGTGAATACATTCGGTTAGCTTGTCGAGATGCGACAGTGAATACATTCGGCTAGCTTGTCGAGATACGACAGTGAATACATTCGGCTAGCTTGTCGAGATACGACAGTGAATACATTCGGCTAGCTTGTCGAGATACGACAGTGAATACATTCAGCTAGATTGTAGAGATACGACAGTGAATACATTCAGCTAGCTTGTCGAGATGCGACAGTGAATACATTCAGCTAGGTCGTTCAGGTATGAATATGAATGTGAATACATTCAGCTGGGTCTTTCCGGATACAAAGATGAATACATTCGGCTAGCTTGTCGAGATGCGACAGTGAATACATTCAGCTAGATTGTCAAGATATGAATGTGAATACATTCAGTAAGGTCATCCTGTTTTGAATGTCAATAACTTGAGTATGATGATCCGTCAGCAGGTAGGTCATTATGAGCTTAAATATATCTTGCTAGGTCACTGTACTAATTCCCCAGGTTCAGCACGGTGTCATGGACAAAACAATGTCAGTCTAGAAACTACAACTAATGGTGCCATTTGTTTACCCTGCCTACTGTGATCTCCATGGTAACAAAATGATGAATTAGTGGCTGATTTCATCATCACCTGTAATCAAAACTCTGTGTTTGCTTGATGTTTATTCTGTTTGCATGTTTGTTTCTTGTACCGGTATATATAGATGCTGTGAACTGTATGTCCTCTGTCAATGTTTGACAAAAATACTAGAAATCAAGGTCCCACCATTTTATGTGTTTATTGTTAAGTGTCTGAAAGCTGTCCAAACTAACTACATGTGTTCACAGATTTCCTTGTCAGTATGACAGTAGGCTGTGTAATATTGTTTTTAATATCTGCATTTCTAATTTATCAGTATTTACGAAATGTGAAATATGTTTTACCAAAAAGTAAGATTTATATTGCAGACACTTTCAGAAATAAACTTTTGTATGATAAGATTAAAATCAACTTATTATCAAGCTTGTCCACTATTAAAAACCTGATATATCTCTGGCCCACTGAATGGAAAGATATGTACTGCAGATGGAGTAGCTTTGTGGTTAAAGAGTTCGCTCGTCACGCCGAAGACCAGTGTTCAATTCCCAACATGGGTACAATGTGTGAAACCCATTTCTGGTGTCCCCGCTGATATTGCTGGAATATTGCTGAAAGCAGCACAAACCCCCACTCACTCACTTTGATTAATCTTTGTCTGACAGTATCATTAGATTCATTATATTTACACAATATTACTGCAAGCTTGGACAAACAGATCCGCCTTGCAAACGCTTTGCCTGAGTATAAGTATTATATATATATGTATATACACATGGTCACATGCTTTGCTTGCCCATATTTGTTACTTAAAATACACAACTCAGCTTTTGAGAATCAGGTATATGAGACAAATGAAAATATACATTTGAGATGTGAGAATTGTTTTTGTGTGTCATGGAAAGATAGAATATTCCTACCAAAAGTTGAGTTGTATATTATGCAAGGCTCCAGATAAGGGCCGTATCAGTGTATGTACGGAAAAAAAATATGCACGATACGGTAGGAAATAATTTAGAAAATGTAGCATATATGAAACAAAACACAAAATTAGAATGCACCACAGCAGTGGTGTATGGTCTTAGAATCATTTACAGACGTACTTACCCGTATCTCAAAAAGTATTGTTTTGTTGTTTACTGACCTGTTTACACAAGACTAGCAATGTTGTGGTGCATATATGAAACAAAACACAAAATTACTGATATTCCTGTAATTCCATTCAGTACTCTAAATGAAAAAATAAGGAGTACATACTCCTGATGTTGAAACATTATCTGGAGCCCTGATTATGAGGGGTAAACAGTGTATAGGACACAAATCCCAGTGAAAGTATTTAACAAAACATTCCAGTTTTGATACCGTTGCTATTTAATGTAGGTCACTTTCATCTGTCACTTGGACTAACAGGTATCGACAATTAATTGATTCAAAACTATTTCTTATCTTCATGTCCTAATCTGAATAGAGAAGTTGAATTTATTTGGCCTTATTCTGGAAACCACAGTTTCTTAACAGTAAGTGTTTATTTTTATATTTTTGATGCTGCCCTCAGCAATATTTAAAATATATATGATGATAACTGGTAAATAGTCACAATCCTGTGGTTGATATTAAGAGCAATAATCCCTCTGCTGGGTTATGGTGACCTGCCATCAACCAAGATAGAACTGTTTGAATAGACTACCTGATCCACTGCACCACCCTGTATCGCAAGCATGAGTTGTTCAAGACCAGTTCTACTCTGGAACCCTTAGCATCATCCATTAATAACTATACAGACCTTTACTGTGTTGAGGATGTGTAAAACCTTGAAATATGTAAATCTGATGGTTTCACCACGAACAGTCTAGATTAAATTGGTTTCACTGTTGATGGAACAGAAGTGTTTCTGAATCTCTGGTAAATATCCTAGTTTGGTGTGAAATTGACAATAATTATTTAAATGAAGTGGCCATGAACAATGACCATTAGCTGTATTTGTTTACCATCCATAGCTTTGTAGCACAACTATGCATGAGAATACAGTGGAATCTGTCGTCATGGACTGTCTGAAAGAAATTTCTCTACTTTGGAACCATTTGTCATCATCGTAAATATAGTTTTAGGGTTTGTTATGAGGAATTCTGTTAACATCACATCATTATGGGCGGGGGATTTATGTTTCTGTGCCACGTGTAGCACATCTCAGGATGTAGTTTTGATGTCAAATCAAGATTGGATTGAGTTTTTTTCTGATAGAGATCATGGTGAAACTCTTGCAGATCAGTGAAGTCTATAGATACTTGGTCAAGATGATGGTGAAAATCTTTGATGTTTTACTGAATTTTCTTTTCCGCAGCAGACAACAGTGAAAGAGCATACAGCATCTCCTATCCCCTGTGTTAAGGAATTGTTGTTTTGTAGAGTTGATCATATTTACTTTGATAAGATGCAAATTATCTATGATCAGTGCTCACAAGTTTTCATAGAGTTCGCCTGGTATTGCTGGAGTGAAAGAGAGAATGTTAGAAGTTTAGTTCATTGTGTGTGAGTTGTGCTTATGTTTAGTTTTTAAGGTAAATTTTTAACCATAGCATCATTTTTGAGGAACAATAACAGGTTCCCTGATGTTTTGGAATAGGAATTTTAATAAATCAGTGATATGAAAACTAACTTTTAATTTATTATTTTATGAGATTTATTGTGTGTTAAAAACTGTTCATTGTTTACATGAGGTATTAATTTCTTGTATTTGTGCTTTATTTATGTTTTAATAATTATAACTTGATTGATATATTCCATTTTATAGCAACCCGGTAAAAAAATATGTTTCTTTCATTTTGTCTGCCCATATTATTTGCAGCATTTGTCCGTGACCAAGAAGTCTTAACACAAAGGCTTCACAGATGAATTGTAAAAAGGATTTCGTTGTCAAAACCATACATTGCTACTTGCTAGCAAACATTTAGTTATGTTTTGTGGACAGTTTCCAAACCCTTTGGTTATTTAGCTACAACTTTGCAGCATTATTTAATACCTGTACTCTGTCCATCACGAAGTGGATGCAGAACTATAAATGCATGTCGGACTGTCCTGGAAAAAGACTATTCCTTGTGATCACTTTTTAATCAAACCATTTATATGTGCCCTTTGTCAGAGAAGTTAACTTCAGCAACAATCAAATCTTTGGATTCTGCATTGAGGAATGTCTTGTCTGTAGATCCCATGCTCTGTATATTTGTATCTTGTATGCTATTTGTCAAAGAACAATCTTTGTTAGGTGTTTGTTGTGGTGTTTTTGTACTTAAGGTGTTCTCTACACTCTCTTTTCCTTGTGAAATGTTCTTAGTTTACTAGATTGTAGGAGGCAGATTTTCTTAAGTTTTCAACCAATTTTTCTCTGCTGACAGTCATTTTTTTTGTTCCACTGATTATCATAGTGATATTTTGAAAATGTTAAAGAAAGTTTTTATTGACATCTTTGAACATCATTTTGATCATATTTGTTTCAACATTGATTTAAAAATGTATTCTCTAGGAAATTAACTTCAAATTATCCCTGGCAATTTAAAAATTCTTGTTTTCTGCCTCTTGGTACTTTTATATACATGTAGAAAATCTAGAAATGAAGAAAATCTGGTTTTGCAGTAAAACACAAAACATGTACTTCATTTTATTGTCGGTTGAGTAGTTTTTCTGTGGCAGTTAGTCATCAACATCCTCATGTGAATAGCATTGATATGGATTTTATTTGTATTTGATTGTTGGTAAGTAGAGATCAAGTCATTGCACATTGTGAAAGGGTCAGCAAGAGTTACCTGCTCCTGGATCGTGCTGTCACACACACAAAGGCCTGTAGCTTTGTTATTATTCACACCATGCTTATAAAATTGCTGTGTAGAATATAGGTTGATATTAGATTGCTTGTATTATGTTCAATTATCTCAACACTAAACATTTCCAGCATAATGAACGCTGTCTATCTCAGAAGCTGAAATGTACGACTGAAATGTGCGTGTCACTCAACTGCTGTTATTAATGTATAGACTTTCAGTACTCTTGCTATTTATTTTTTTGCTTGATATGTTGTGTATCTATCACAGTGTTACATTCAGCAGTTGTGACATTTTATGATGATGACGATGATGGTTATGATGATGATTGTGTCATGAATAAATCTTTTATTTAAAGCTTTGGTTGTGTTTTAAACATGAAAGAATGGCGGTTTGCCTGCAAAGAGAGCTGGGGTCACAAAAAGACAAATGTAAAACATTAAGTGTGAGTGAGTGGTTTTGCACTATTTTTAGCAATGTTCCAGCAAAATCACAGCGAGGGGACACCACAAATGGGTTACACACATAGTAACTATGTGGGGAATCGAACCCAGGTCATCATTGTGACGAGTCAACGCTTTAACCACAAGCCTATATCCTACTATCCTGCTATAGTGTGAAAAACAGAAGTCATCCTCTTTCTTCTGCATGAGGTGGGGTAATATCGTCATACTCAAGACTGTGTCACATACCTATGTGCATGCATTAAGTACTGTCGGAAATAGAAAAAAAATCCTGTTTTTAGGCTGTTACTCTGTATCCCTTTAAATTACCCACATTGCCAAAATAACCCACATTGACCTAACAGGGCGTTCAGTGGGATGCGTAATGGGTCATGATATGCAGAAAAGCATGTTTACTCGTAAAATCGGGCAAAATATACGAATAGCTGACCACCTGACCATTGGAATTAACTCGCTCATCCAGGTATGACGACAGACCGTCCACTCACCTGCATGAAATGCATGTGCTGCCTACAGGCACAAGCGTCATCTCAAAGATAATTTATGCCTTTTCATGTGTGTTGAAAATATGTCACCTATTGATTAATATTTTACGTGTCTCTCTTTCATAAAGTTTTGTGTTGAGATATGTAAAAGAGTATGATATCCATAAAAAAGCTTAAATATGCCATCGCATTAAATGTCTCAGAATATATAGGTGGCATGACCACCCGAAGATCGACAGGACTGGATATTATTTATAAATTGTTATGACATGCCGTTTACTCTACCAGTTTAAGGACTTTCTTATCTTAGCTGATATCTCTATCCCCCAGCCCAATGCTAACCACTGTCTGCGACAACCGTCCTGGTTTTGCTTTTGAGATGACCCCTCCTACCCTGTTTGTTTTTATAGTGTTAGTGAGACTCCATGGTAGCTACATCCTTAATAGTTTCAGTATTAAAGTTATTATATTTCACGTCAGCTATCATTTATAATGAAGCTAAGTCTAATTTCAAAACGGGCATTTAAAAAGTGTCCTTTGTAATACAATATCCTTGCACACTAATTTGCATATAGCCATGGTCTGTTCCAAATAAGTCGCTTTGGACTTTGGACTGCATTGCTCATTTCTGCACTAATCTCTCCTCAGTAAAGTCCTTTTTTACATTTCCTATGTCCCTACCACTGAGACTGCAGTAAGGCCAACTTAGTTTAACAGATATTTCACACTTTCACATATTAATTACATAAATTGCAGATGTAAGTGTGAAAATACAGTTTTTTTTCTATTTCCAACAGTACTTTCCCATGAAGATCTAGGTTAGAATTGGGCTTCAGCAACCTGTGCTTGTTGTAAGAGGCGTCGAACAGGATTGGGTGGTCAGGCTCGCAGACTTGGTTGACACATGTCATCGTATCCCAATTGCGTAGAACTATGTTCATGATGTTTATCACTGGATTGTCTGGTCCAGACTCGATTATTTACAGATTGGTGCCATATTCCTGGAATATTGCTGAGGTAGGAGTTAAACAACAAACCAAATTTTAACAGAAGCCATTGCCGCAAATGTTGGTTGTTTTTTTTTGTTAACAGACACAAAAGGGGTTTCACTGTATCTGTTTGCACAGAAAGTTGACATGATGGAGTGGTATCTATTTTACCATATTACAAGAGTTTATTGAGTTTAGTTTTACGCAACACCCAGCAATATTCCAGCTATATGGCAGCAATATTACAAGAAGGCAAAATGCACACTAAAATATACTAAATAACATGAATATGTTGTAAAACAAAACACAGATATAATCTCACACATTTATTTCTCATATTCAACAATAAATTTGACTCTTGCTCAAAACAGAAAAAAAGAGTGGTGACACAGCAACAATGAAATAAAATGTGAATTTGTGAACAAGCATCTTGAAAAATGACACTCTAGTTCAATTCATTCCTGGAACATCACAAGCTAGTCTGCCCAATTCCTACATTGTAGGGGTGTCATATATACACTTAACTCACATTTAGTTTGCTTCATATCACAACAATCTGTCATATTGGCCTGAAATTCTCCATGTTCCATATGACTCTGATAAAAGAGGTAGTTGCTATCAGCCAGTTTCCGTTCCTTGATGACTGGTTAATATAGGTTTGTTCGGAATTGAAATTAGCATTTTGCTATGGTAAGCAGGGAGTAAATACTGGGCCATATAGTTATCAGGCTGCAATATTGCAACAGTTCTGAGGACCATTAACACACAACCAAAACATGAATCAACTTATAGGTATAAAATGAGGATCATCTGAGTAAAATTCACAGTGAATCGAGACAGGACTTATACATTTCATGTCTTCTTAAAATCATTCAAACAATGAACTCATCCCAATACAGTTGGGTACTATCTACACTACCAAGTCTGCTGGTCCAAAATTATAACACTTGGCAGGTGTTTCCAAATCTGACCCTATGTATTCAAGGGTCTTATTATTCCATGTTAATTAATGACTCATAATACATGAATTTCAAAAATATATATTTGATTGTATCCTGTGATGACCATTCTCTTCCCACAGAGGTTACTTGTCATATCTTCCTACGAACCTCTGTTCTAATACGGCCATATTTCCCGGTTCTCGTAAAATCCCCTAGCGGCAAAAGATCGCAACACGAATGATCTCCCTTCTTTCTATCCAATCAGAACACGTGTTACATCGACTTAGCTTCAACTTGACTAACACAAGCAAATGTGGGGCCACAAATTTCCCCATCTGCCGGGGACTTGTGTTGATGTTACACACAAGACGTTTAATGGCTAGCTTGTCCGTTGTCAACGAGGGCGATGGAGACGCCACTGATCTGCCATAACATGACTGAGTTCTGTCTAGAAGAAACGTTTGCGCATCGCGCAGGGGAAGAGGTTTAGTTTTCTCGAAGCATCGGAAATTACCGAGGCCTTGCGAATGATCACTTTTGAAACAACGTCGCTGATTGCACAACTAAATCTGATTGCCTCCAATAACGAGTCTTGAACGCTCACACCATGAAATGGCCGTATTAGAACAGAGGTTACGTAGGAAGATATGACTGGAGTAACCTCTGTGGGAAGAGAATGGTGATGACAGGATTCTCAATACGGATGACATTTAGATTTAGATTTGTTCCTTGAGAGTATACAATTACAATCAGTTGAATCATGTGACAAAATACTTTTTGTAAATAATGCAAGTGCATATTTATTATTTTTCCCTTTATAGTATGTTTCATTTGATGGATAGTGTTTTAGCTGAATAACAATCTTGCAATGTATTTCAAACATTCTGGAGTGTAATTGTAACACAGGTTGTAGAGAATCAAGCAGACTAGTCGGTGACTGTCCCAATTACCACAGAAGTCTGTGAGGAGGAGAAGGAGTATTTCTACAAATGTTAAATCATAATTGAAATATGAATGTGAGATATTAAATGTAAATAATAAATAAAATCTATGTAATATACTCATCTGTCTCTATGTCATCTGATCACAAAAGCAAACCTTCTCATATTACAGAATTTATGTACATTCTTATCAGTCGTGTTAAAATGCAACAACGTTTTAGAGTAATTCTGTACAGTGGATTATTAATAAGCTCTTTGGACACTACCACGTGGAACATTGTTCGTTACAGCCTAATCAAACTTAGGTCACATTTCAACACCATGCAAAATTGAACAATTTGAATAAGTATTGTACTTATGTGTATCTGTCATGTCAAAGTTCACACATTTTGTAATACTACTAACATCACATCTGACATTTACAACTGATAGAGATCAGGGCCCTTTACAAAAGTGATCGTAGAGCTACGACTGTCGTAAGTCTATGTTAAAGTTACGATCACCTTAGTGCTACGATCGCTTTGTGAAATGGGGTCCAGGGCCTCATTCCATAAAATGGTCTTAGTGCTCTGGCTGTCATAGGACAAAAAAGTATACTCCCAAGGGGGTTGAGAATGATATGTGAGTGCACAGAGATCCCAAACTAGGGAACTTGGTGAACGGAATCTGGTGCTTTATAAATGGACTTCTCAAAGTCAAAGGTTATATGAAGAAATTATGATCATGTTTGTACTAAGTTTGTTTTGTGTAAAAAGGCCCTGACTAGACCCATTTAATATTTTTAACAAATCAGCAAATCTAAAATGAATACAATTTAACTTTAATAGGATACCCACCTTAATAAACAAATGACTAAGTTAAAAATGGTGGCAAATGATATTACTTTAAAACCTAAAAAAAAAAGAAAAAGAAAAAAACAAACAAAAAAGAAACAACGAATTTCCCAAAGATATTTTGCAGATTTCTGACGCTGTATATCATCATATGGAGGGTTGTCCTCACCAGACACCCCTGGTATATTTGGTCGAGAACTTTCAGAATAATCAAAGTTTCTGAAAGTCAGACTTGGCTAAATACACTTGGTCATGCACTCCAAGGATCTACAGTTACAGCCATTTTCAGAATTAAAAAGCAAACATCAAATCTGTTTAAAACACTAGTAAACATACAAATATAGCAATTGGGCACCACAATACATACGGTAAGTAGAATTCTTTGACTTACTTCAAATTATGCTTGTACCTCCTAATCAATGGTACAGTGATTATGTTTTGCATTGATTCGGCTGCTGTACATGATGTATGCACACACACACTGAGGAGTATTAAGCCTGAGGTTATTAGACTGGACAACAACGCTTTCTTCATAGTGGCCCTATCTAGTTACAAAACAAGATACATCTGTATTAGAGCAACCGCAGATGAAGCGGTAAACACGTTATTTTTGTATCACTCTGGTCTAGCAGGCTACTCTCAAAATAAAAATACCTTCGCAAAAATGGAACATGTTCTTTCCAGTCAGGATAATATTCAATGTG